AAATTTCGACAATCCAGAATCAAACGACTGGACTTTTTCAAAACACTGTTAGATAAACCCACCACGACAGAAACTCTAGACTATTAGGCCCCGCCGCCCCGGCACAACCGGAAAACGCGAAAACCCAAACGCGCAAGCGCGTTGGGACCCTCCCTGGCGCGGCCGGGGCAGTACCCACCCAGCACCGCGGGGCCGGTGCTCAGCACGCACTCCTGTCCCAGGCCCCGGATCAGCTGATAACTGGCCATCGCGGCGCTGCAGCGGTCGCCGGCAGACAAGGACTCCTGCAACTGCAGTAGAGAACCCCGCACACCAGACGCGGAGTCAGCCATCACGCCCAGACCTGGCACTGCGCATGCGCCCCAAAATGCCGCGGGGCTCACGGGTACGGGGGCGGAGTTCCCAGAGCAGGGGCGGGGCTCGCGGTGGCGGGAAACTTCCGGGGGACCCTGAAAAGAGGGGTCTTCTCCGTAGGAAGAGCCCATTGAGATGTCAATTAAGATATTGGCAGGCATGTGTTGCATACAATACACTTAGCATGCATACATCGGAGCTTAGAGAGAAACAGGAATCTAGCGGTTTGACCTCCGGAAATAGAGGGGGAGGATGACTGGTGAATTAGAGTTGACTAAACACCGGAGGCAGATAAAAAGAAACTAAAGGCTTGGGTCAAGATCTACGAAGTAGTCCCTTGATAAAGAGTGAAAAATGCATGTGTAATGTGTTTAGAAATGAAGATGCTTAAGGGATAAAGAATATTCTCCTTATCCAACAATACAGTGTAGATCAACCCTTCCGTGAACACAGTCTGGCGGGACTCCCCAGATTTCCCGCGAAAACGCAGTCGAGCAGGGGGCCAGACCATCTAAACGGAGGGGGGCACCGAGCGAGGCTTGAGTCTGCCTTCCGTGGGGCGCCTAAGGAGGCCGTTCAGTACCCCCTATTGGTGCACAGTGGCACCTTCCGGAGGCGGAGCCATACGAGAGCGCTGCTGTGATTGGTGGGGCACCGCCGAGGGCGTTGACAATGGTGCCGAAGGCGCGAAACCTTGTTCCGCTCGTGCGGTGTAGGACGGCGACCCACCAGGTGCGTCCGGGTGCCCTGCGGGCGTCAGAGGCGAGCTTCCCCGGTAGCAGCGTGTGGGCTGCGGAGCCCAGAGAGGGTATTTGTGCGGTGGGGAGGGAGGAAGCCGGGGCGGATGCGGGTGGAAACTGCCCTTTTCTCGCGCAGATTCCACGAGCACCATGTCGTCCCCGGCGTCCACCCCGAGCCGCCGCGGCAGCCGGCGCGGACGGTTGACCCCTGCGCAGACGCGTAAGTCCCTTACCGTGAGTCGAGCCCGCCACGTTACCCTCCCTTCCCCTCTTCTGGCTTTTTCCCGCCACCACAGAGAGACCTGGTCTGTGCGCCTGATTTCTGGCTCTGAGCGCAGTCTTTAAGTCCCAGGTGGAGTAAGATGTGAGGACAGCGAGCATTTGCTCATGCTCTGTCAATTCTAGTGTGCAGATACTTTTTTTGTGAGGCAGGCAGTGCTGGGCCCTCGTTTCCACCCTAATTGTTAAGCATGTCCGTGTCCATTTGTCTCTGTTTTGTTTGGTTTGTATTTGTTCCCAAGAGACTTGATGGAACTCCCGGAAGACCAAACGTGAGAATTGATGGCCATCTTTTCTGTGTTCTGTGTCACAAGCTCGAAGTGAAGATGCCAGGTCGTCACCATATCAGAGACGTAGAGGCGAAGATTCTACCTCTACAGGAGAGTTACAGCCTATGCCAACCTCACCTGGAGCTGACCTGCAGAGCCCTGCCGCGCAGGATATGTTATTTTCCAGCCCTGCTCAAATACATTCCTCAAGTATGTTTTTGGCGATCTAAGTTCTATTGTGGTTAATATATGGATGATGCTTTAGCCGGTCAGATTTGCTGGTTTGTTAATGGGTAGTTGATGTAACCCGACATGAGCTAATATGTTCACTAAGAGTACAAAGATAGGTACATGTTCGGGCTTAGTGAACAGAGAAAAAAAGTTTTGGTGCTTTTTTATACTAGAAGGTTTAATAGTCCTCAGAATCTTCACCACCACAGGTTACAAGGAATATTATTTGCTCTTGTGCTTAGATGACTTAAATCAACATGCTGTAGTTTAGGATTTGATAGGCTACCAGAATTTTATTGTAGACTTTCAAATTTGTTTTTATAGCAGTTCCCCTTGACTTTGACGTTAGTTCACCGCTGACATATGGCACTCCCAGCTCTCGGGTAGAGGGAACTCCAAGGAGTGGTGTTAGAGGCACACCTGTGAGGCAGAGGCCTGACCTGGGGTCTGCACGGAAGGGCCTGCAGGTGGATTTGCAGTCTGATGTGGTGAGTACACAGTACAGTTTTCTGATAGGGGCATTTGGGGAACATGAAATGGGTAATTCCCTATTAACTGGTTCTATCATATTTTTCTGTATAGCCAGCAACAGAAGATATAGTGGCGAGTGAGCAGTCTCTAGGCCAAAAACTTGTGATTTGGGGAACAGATGTAAATGTGGCGACATGCAAAGAAAATTTTCAGGTGAGCTGTACCTTAATACTTTAGGGTTCTGAAAAAGCTGGGAGAAAAGGTTTAGAAACAGTACCTCAGTAGCTGTAACACTGGGGTAGAATTTTAGGTGGCTTAGAATTGTTGATGTTTTTAAAAAGAAAAAATACTATTTACGTCTGTCTCCAAATAGTGACATACTCATAATATTTTGCATTGTAAGTAGTTGTTATTCCTAATGCATCAAACTTACTCTTTTTCTCTCCACATCAAGAGATTCCTTCAGCGTTTTATTGACCCTCTGGCTAAAGAAGAGGAAAATATTGGCATAGATATTACTGAACCTTTGTACATGCAACGACTTGGGGAGGTAATCAAATAGTCTTATAAAATCAAATTAATGCATTTTAAAACAATCAGCAGAACATAACTTGTTTGTTTTCTCTTCTAGATAAATGTCATCGGGGAGCCATTTTTAAATGTAAACTGTGAACACATAAAATCATTTGACAAAAATCTATACAGACAGCTCATCTGCTACCCACAGGTAAGACTTTGATTTTGACCTTGATGGATTATAGTAAACACCCAGAACACCTAGAGGGTTTTTGAATAGCAGAATTTCCTGGATAGCAAAAAGAATGTGCCTCCAGAGCACCACAACTTAAGAAAATCATATTTCTTCTCCTTTAAGATGAACATTTCCTCACACTTTCACGTTTCCAAAATTGGGATGTGTATTATTGTCAGTGGCAGGTCATAGTCTAATTGGCAGGTTGTTCCTTAATAGTATTTAAAATAATGGTGAATCTTTTTTTTTTTTTTTTGGATTGGGGAGTTATTTTATTTCAAGGGATCCCTGAATTCATTTGGACCCTTATATTGCTTATGGACTGAATAAATAACATGCCTTACAATCTATGCCCTATGGGGCCTCTGTGACAAACAAAACAGAAATAATCCATTTAAAGCCTGCCTGAAGTCTCTTGTGATTATGTGTGGCTTTCCTTTATTTGGACCTCAGAGGCATACAGTTTAAGTGGTCATAGCCCTTGATTTATGACCACTTGTCATCATTAGCCCACATATGGCCTAAATAAAATAATGGTGAATCTTAAAATTCATAGCTGCTTGGGTTGGATGAAGTAAATTACCTTAAGTGAAAAAAAAATTTTTTTAAGATTTACTTATTTCAGAGAGTGCATACATGCAGGAGGTGGCGGGGGGTGTGGGGGCAGAGGGAGAGGAATGGATAGTCTTAAGCAGACTCCAGGCTCAGTGCAGAGCCCCAGTTGGGGCTGGATCTCATGATCCTGAGATCATGACCTGAGCTGAAATGAAGAGTCAGACACTCAACTAACTGTGCCACCCAGGCATCCCTTAAGCAAAAATATTTTATAAATAAATGCATTACACTGTGTGCTGTCCGTAGCAGATTATGTTAACCGTGTTGTAATCTTTTTCTTTCTTTCTTTTTTTTTTTAATTTGGGGTGGGAGGGGCAGAGGGAGAGGGAGAAAGAGAATCTTAAGCAGGCTCCAGACCCAGCGCAGAGACTGACACGGGGCTCGATCTCACAACCCTGAGATTATGCCCTGAGCCAAAATCAAGAGTCAGGCGCTTAACCAACTGAGCCCCCCAGGCACCCTTATAACCTTTTTATTTTAAGCTTTATGTCAGATTTTATTATTGAAGTATCAGCTATATTTGTTTTATATCTTGATCTTGCTGTTTAATAGCTGTGTGACCTTGGTTGAGTTCCCTAACATAAAAGTTATGAGTTTCTGAGTTCAGAAACTTTTCATTACTAATTAAAAGCCTAAGGTATGTCAGTACATTGTGAAGGTTTCATATATATGACCACATTTAACCCAAATGAGAATATGCAGAGGTGAGAGAGCTCAGTCTCAATGTACCTAATGTTTTTAAACAGCATGTTCGTGATTATATAGAGATGATACTTAAGGATTATGCCAGATGTATTTGTTTTTATACTTTGCTAATATGAAATGCCTTATTTCTTGTATTTAATTCTAAGATGGAAATATAAACACAGCTTGGCTTCTTTACATTCATTTTTATAGGAAGTTATCCCAACCTTTGACATGGCTGTCAATGAGATCTTCTTTGACCGTTACCCTGACTCAATCTTAGAACATCAGATTCAAGTAAGACCATTCAATGCATTAAAGACGAAAAATATGAGGAACCTGAATCCAGAAGGTAATGTTTTTTAATAGCAGAAAAATAAAAAATAAAATCTTATTTCGTCAAGGAATTTTAAAAGAATTGGTATATGTGATAGTGGTGGTAATAGATTATAAATTGACTAAATATATGGCAGATTCATTTACCCTATATGCCTTTCAACCCACCCTACCTTCTTTTAACTTAACTGAAATTACATAAAAGAGGTTGTAACTCTTGACAATTCTCTATCTTAAGGTGAACTTGCCCAAATGTAATAATTTTACAGTTACTAAGTAGGCACGTTTTCAAAATCACTGCAGAAAACAAATACAAAATATAATCCCTTCTTTGGAGCTTAAGAAAGGAATCTAGTTTGGGGGGCACCTGGGTGGCTCAGTGGGTTGAGCATCCGACTCTTGATTGTGGCTCAGGTCATGATCTCAGGTCCATACTCAGTAGGGAGTCTGCTTGAGGATTCTCTCCCTCTCTCAAATGATTAAATAAACCTTTAAAAAAAAATCTAGTTTGGAAAGTAAATAAAAGAAAACATAGAACAAGAGAGCAGTGCAGGAGATGTCTCAGCCCAGGGAGGGAAGGAGAATGCTAGACCCAGGTAGGAAGAGTTCAT